ACCTCGTATGACAGACGAACCTTGTCAAACAAGCAAACATCGTATGACAGGCGAACCTCGTCGAACGAACGAACATCGTCAAACAGGCGAACCTCGTATGACAGATGAACCTCGTCGAACGAACGAACATAGTCAAACTACGAGAACGCTAGGGTCACCCTCGTGCGAATACGTAGCTCGTCCGCATGCTGCGAAGCAGCCTGCGAGGCAACCTTCGTGGTGCCACCTCGCCACGATGCCTCCGTGCGAAGTGCAAAGTGCGCCTAACAAAGCGCCACTTAGCGTCTCAGCCCGATTAGCCCCCTCCGTGCGAAGTGCAAAGTGCGCCTAACAAAGCGCCACTTAGCGTCTCAGCCCGATTAGCCCCGATCACCGGCCCACGGCCCACGACTCACGGTCCACTAGAACTTATGAGGGATTAATTTAAATAAAACACTTCTCGGCTTGCCGTTGGCAAGCCTCGAACAATGGACCTTTTAAAACACCAAAACATAAACTTTCCACTAGGCTACTAAGTATTTATGAAAAGTACTTGTAGTTAATATATATATAGATTGAAAACTCATTTTGGAAAGCAGTTTTGACCAAAAAATTCAACACCATTAGCCACCATGCCATCAGATTAGCTGTCATTTCAATTTTGTCAGTTCTAACTCCAAAAGGTCATTAACATTGGCAAATCCGAACTCGATTTTGGATGGAGAGGGTGCTCAGTGCTCCAAACTTAGTTGATAGCAAATTTACGAATTTGTGAGTGAATTGTGTGAATCAAATGATGAATTTTGTGAGAGAATTATGGGCTAATGTAAATTGGTACAGTATATACCCTTATGCAAGTAAAACTTGATATGTAAAAAAGATAGTGATATAGTGGATATGTTCATTGAGAATGAATTGTGGTTATTGAGCTTAGATAGTTCAGTTTATGTTGTGTGCATTTTATTTGAGGATGAAATGAATGAGATTTTTCGTTATCGATGAAGATAGTCGATGGCTGCTTCAGGGTTGGAAGGGGAGGGATAATCTATGCAATATCAGCATGGAAACCTAATAGAGTTTGACAGAATGAAATTCTACATGAAATACATTCTAGTATATGATTTGTTAAGAATTTGAGGCTTGCCTCGGTTTCTTGGGAGTAGTTCATTAACTGATAACAAGGTATTACTCAATTTTGTTGATAGTTTCGTTCGTGTTGATCCTGTTTAAATGACTGAACTTTTTGATCTGAATGCAGGTGAGTTGGCCTCATTTTAAGGGGGAAGAAAGACTATGACTTTCTTTGGTTGCTGATATGTGTGACCGCTGACTTTCTTGGGCAGCTGAAGATGATATGTGGACTACATGGATGATGACTGAAGACTTATAAAGGACTCAAGCTAGGACAATGTAGTCATGTAATGGTTAGTAGTAGTCAGGTTGTGTTCTTTGCTGGTGATTGTTTAGCAAACTCGCTGTAACTTCTAAGAAATGGAAAAAAAGGAAGAAAAAAAAAGTGGGTTATTTGTATTCACTGACTAGAAATTGTCGGATCAGATTGAAAACGTGTTGGTGGTATTCATCAAGCGTATGCTTGTGCTTACGAATAATAATGTTCTACTGATAAAATTTCAGATATTCATTTCTTTCAGACCATCTCCAACCGCTCTCCGAAATGGGGATCCCTCCAAATTTAGAGAGTGAATCCTCTCCAACCACTCTCCAAATTTGGAGATCTCCAAACTTCACTCTCCAAATTTGGAGAGTGAAGCTAAAATTTAGAGGGACACTCCAAATTAATATTCAACTTTTATTATTTATAATTTTGTTACTTTTAACTATTTAATTTCTTAAAAATTACCACTTTGTCATCTTACTTAGTAATTTAAATTAGATGTTTAATTTCAAATAAATAGAGTTAAAAAACTATTAATCTAATATTTGAAATCATTATATGTTTGGAAATGTCTCGTTGAGATCTTTAAAATGAAACTAAGATTAATTTATTTTAATATTATTTTATAAAATTATTTTTTTTAAATTAAATAAATAAGTATCAGACATGAAATTTTAAATATGGGGATCTATTTAACTTGCCCCATAAGAAAATACAAGCATAAATTACAATATTTAAATTACATTCCTTCGTTGCTTCATTGTTCTATCGAAGTATGTTTTGTCACTGTTATTTTAGATTTTTTTTTAATATGTTGTATTGCATTATTAATATCGGGTTCATTTTAAAGCTCTTATCGACGCCTTTCTAATGTTATAATTTTTTCCTAAATAAATTATTACTAATAAAATTATTAATGTAAACTATATCCAATATTATTAATTTATATGGTTTTTTTTGACAAAATAAAAATAAAAATAAAAATATTTAGAGAGTGTGGGTTGGAGCAACTCTCCAAATTGGAATATTTCTAGAATATTCCAATTTGGATGGTGAAATTTGGAGAGTAGGGTTGTATAGATTTGGTGGGCAAGGAATGGTGGTGGGCCGCAGTGATCTCTGGTGATATGGGGACCATTTTGATGCCTGTCGCAGCCATCAAGAGCACAAATTAACCTCATGTTTTATGTGTAATAATCATAGTGGCAACCTCCTTTCTTACTCAGTTTAACTTGAGGGCCTCAGCCACCCAAAATCATTTGACATCATGTTTGTTGGGAGCTTTGGTCAAAACCTAATAATCCACTCATTCAAATAATTCAACCAGAAGTCCCATCAGAATCCTGCTATCACTGCCAGGACAATAACATTGCCTAAATGTTTAAAAGTTTAGGTTGGTGAGTTGTGCCAATAATTTTTGAATAACAAGATACAGTGTACTAATGCTTTATATTTAACTGCCTGCTCCCATTGAATGCAACATTACCAGGTGCTTTTTAACTATTGTAATCCTTTCAAGACCTTACTCACGAAATCAAAACTGTTGGTGCACTTTCTAACACTATAGTTACTTAGTAGGCAGGCCTTTTTTTTACCCTCAAGACTCGCAAACAGGGAAACCATCATCAAGTTAGAAAATAAAACGACAAACATAAAAATCTTTTAAGGCCATAAAGTATATCCAGAAAGCTTCAAAAGAACATTGACAAACAAAAGAAAGATTGGAATGCGTTATTAGTAGTAATATTCTTCAACATCTTCATCCTCTTCTTCTTGGTCTTCCGGACCTTCCTCTTCTTCCTCATTGATGCTTCCTACTTGACTTGTTGCTCGAGCCTGCACAAACATCATCTTCTTGATCTATGTTTTTTTTATTTGCCAAATTATACAACTCAATACATGTGGCACCTTCCGCAACCAATAAACATTAGAGTCTTTGATGAGGAATTTGACGAGCCAATGCTAAGACATTGGTGCGTATCAAAACTTTTTTCCTTAGCTGACTTTGTCCATCTCTTTAAAATACATTCAGAGGGTATTTCCAAGATATCAAGAGGCAAAAGCACCTTTTAAGCACATGCGAGCACACCATTCCACTAAATTCAAACATTTTACAATTGCAAGATACTGTCGTAGGGGCTTGGAAGGTAACCATATAGGTTCTTCTTCTAGCACTTGGTTTTTTTGAGTTTGGGACTTGCACTAGTTTGTACAATGCCTTAGGCTCCATTTCATTCAGAGAAAATGAAAATATCTCTTTTTGTTGATCCTTAAAGATCCTAAGCATTGCTCTAGTATAAATCTTTTGTACATGCCTCTCTATTGGGCTTGGAGACCACAAAGTGGGCTTGTATTGCAGAGAGTGAAAATCCTCTTCCTCTTATATGTCATATCGATCTTCTAAAGCCTTATTGCATGACAAACTCATAAATTGTTGTATGGTTATTGACTCTACCTTTGAGAAGTGCATTGAAACTATTTCTTCTTTGCGTTGTAGACAAGAAAACGCAAAATATATTTCTAAAGTATGGTAGCACCCACTTATCTCGAATTTGATACAAATATTTTAAATGTGTGTCATCTTCAACTCCATGCTTCTCTATCATAGAAGTCCAACTTGACTCAAAACCATCAACTGTTAAGATAAAATTGATGCAACTAAGAAAGTCATCTTGAAACTTCTCTTTTGTGCCAAATTAAATGCCTAGATGCTCGTGTGCTTTCCGAAGAATGTGCCACTTACAAAACCGATGAGCCGTATTAGGAAGGACCTCACTTATTGCTTTCCTCATTGAAGGATCTTGATCTGTCAGAATACAAGTAGGATGCTTACCAAACATTGCATTAAGCCATGTTCGAAACACTCACATGAAGGATTCCACGGTCTCGTCTCTAATTAAAACACAACCAAATAATAGTTTGAGAATGGTGGTTTACCCCGATGAATGGTGCAAATGACATATTGTACGTGTTTGTACAATAGGTGGTATCAAAAGTGACTGCATCTCCAAAATGCTGGTAGGCCATCCTTGATCTCCCATCAACCCAAAACATATTTTTGCACAATTATTACTATCAGTCTGGACCGCATAAAAGAACATAGGATTCTCAGCTTGCAATTGTTGAAAGTGACTTAGAGTCCTTAAGATATCACTCTCAAAAAGAGAACTTCTTTGGCGAGTTGCAAAGTTCCTTAGGTCCTTTCTCGTGAATGATAAATTACGAACCCCTCCACGTTGAGATGCAATGAAGTCTCTGATATGCTTTGTTGAAATGCTTTGCTCACGCATGGTTCGTATAAGGTCGTCTTCTTCATCTCCAATCTTTCACCGACACTGATAGAAACGAGATTTTGAGGGGCTCGGTACTAATTCATGGTTGTGCTTCTTCTTAAAGGATGATATGATCCAATTTTCTTCATCATCTAATTTCACATGCATACTTGCTTTGCAACCAGTTCAAATGCTAGATATCTCCTTCGAAGAACTTTTCTCAAATGTGTTATCCCTAAGTAGGCTCCTTCCTTTTTGCTTTTAGGAAACCCTCATGAGAGCAAGTAAATACGTGTATTGTGATGACATTCTTTCTCTTAGACAAATAATTAGATCCTTTCTTAAGCTCAAACTCAATGAATAGTGCATAAGCACTATAATAATTCATTGCTTCCTCCAAACTTTTGAACATCATACCGATCTTCGGTTCATCAATACATGATATGTGACTCAAGTTTTCTTCTAGATGTTCATCTTCATGTGGCTGACTCTCTTGCGTCGTCTTTTCTATTTCTTCATTTGCACGAAAAATATCATTGTCTACATATTCCCCTAATCTTGCCATGAGACAACCTGTAACCATAATGGAAAGATTATTAGATTGCTTCATAGATGGAGAAAATTTTAATATAGGGTAAATTAAGCTCACAATTGATAAAATAAAAATAACAAGTGGAAGGGGAAATCTATATTTAATAGTTACTAACAAACTAAAATGAAAACGTTGGTAAAAGTCATAGATGGAGAGATTCATGGCTCTATTTGTACTCTTGTCAATCTTAGCTAACCTTCAAATATCAAAAACCCATATCAACGTGAACTAAAACCTTCGTTCATTGGCTTGGTCGGGACTCGAATCTCTAAGGAATCTCCTACTCCTCGGAGTCTCAGTTTCTTTTCAGAGTCTCAGTAATCTTCATGAAGTGGTCTTCTCTATACGTGGTCCGGACAGATAAGCAATGTAAGCATGGATTGGATATGGACCGAACTAGTAATGCGAGGAGGGGTAAAATTTAATATTACATCAACAACTTATGCGGTGTGAATTTCACACCAGAATCACATCAAAATAAACTTTTTTTATGCCAATTACATTGTGTCGACTCTACATGAGATAAATAAATCATGTTTCTAAGATCATATTTATTCAAATATGTAGCATAATCAACAGAGTTACATGGCAGGTATTTGAATATGCTAAAGTGATAAAACACGGAAAAGTTTAAATACCAGGATATGGAGACATGGATATGGATACATACGAAGCATATTACCATGTCCCATATTTAGAGGAGAAGACCCTGTTTTCAACACTACTTGTTTACCCAGTATAACATTTGACTTAGTGAAAAGAAAAGCATTAACATGTCTTTAGATAATTTCAAGAGCAAAAACATGGTGCTGGGTAAAACTTACTAAAGCAACAGAAGTAAACAAGAACTTACACATCCAAACTAAAACGTGTAGTGCTCTAGACTTACAAGACCAGTTTTTAGTTGCAGCATAATTTGCTTCAATACTCTAACAAAGATATACGATCCGAACTAAAACATGTAAGAAACAAAGGACAAAAAAAGAAAGCACTAAAACCTGATGCCGACTTCGGAATTGGAGAGGAAGACAATTTGGTTCATCTCTGATTTGGTTCGGAATCGGAATCTGGTGGCATGGTGGCTGATGACAAGGAGAGGAGGCGAAGGGCAGCAGATCTCAATGTTGGTTGAGCGAGCGACGGATCTTTGGCCAGCGGGCGACGGTCTGAAGCAAGTGGACGGACGGCTTGTAGGTCTGAGCGCGAGAGTGATCGATGGGGGCTATTGAAAGATGGCGGTGATGATTATTTTTTTTATGCTACAGAATCAATTAAGAGAGATTTCTTGTTTTGTGTGGATTTATTTTTCCAAAAATACCCCTTTTAGCAATTAATTCATGCCACATCATCTAAACAAAATACTGATATTAAAACTTAATCCAACGATTAGAAACTTTGGTGGATAATGGATACAACTTAAGTTGACAATAGTTTCTCTCTTCTCTCTCCTCTCATCTACTCGTCGTATAGTACGTATATATATTATATATATTATATACTATATATAGTATATATATATATACTATATATATTATATATAGCCGTGAAAAACTGCGGCTGCGGGGTGGCTGTCAACTTAAGCTGGCATAGCGGAATAGTGCTTCGCCTCCACCAAGTTTTTAACACACTCATATTAATCTTAGCGGATCCTTGTATTATATAAAAATGTGTTTCTATATTAAATAAATGTCGTGGCTAGCCGAACTTTCGGTGCGACATCAACTTAATTGATAGGCCAGTCTTAGCTCTCTCTCTCTCTCTCTTCTCTCTCTACTATATATTAATATATATATATGTAACTATATATACTATATCATATATATGATATATATATATATATAGAGAGAGAGAGGAGAGAGACGAGGCCCCCGGGGCCGGAAATGCTTTTTCCAACTATTTTCCTAATGATTGACACTTTTTAGCATATCCCACCTAAGGACTTCCGTGCTAAAATCACATCATTCCCTAATTTTTTTTTACTGATCCGCTTCATTGAACTTGATCATACACGCTTCTTAAACCAACACACCAATTTTGCGAGGCTGAACCCGTCGTGTTTGACCCTTCATGCCACTCACCACGAATTGTTTAACGGTGTTCTCGAAATGAATAGAACTTTTGCACGAACTCAAACACGAAGGGTCAAAATCATGCAACGGTGTTCCACCCCCAAAACTATGCATGCTGTTTGGCCGGTTTACTTCAAGAACGTGTAGATCAAGTTCACGGAGCCGCCGATCGCAAATAAAAATTTAGGCCGAATGCATGTAATTTTAGCGCTCTGCACCATTCATTAGATGCGCGAAATCTTAAGGGTGCTCAACCTTAGCCGCCAAAAACTTACCCCAAGTATATGTATATATATCCATATACTATATAATATATATATATATATATACTATATATATATATATTATATATAATATATATATATAAACACAGCTTCACAATTCATCTAGTCAACAGGAACAAGTTTTTCTATAGAGGCTGAGTTCATCTGGGGTATTAAATTCGAGTTTTTTTTTCTCAAGTGTAAATTTTTTTGATATGAGGACATCTATCTTAGCCATTCATCTATATCTAATTTCTATAGCAGCCATCCCTGAAAACCTTAGTCGTTCAATTATGAAATCCTATCATATGAAATACTTTATGTAGTTACCAAAAATTATGAATTTTATTTTGAAATTTGAAAACCATAGTGAATTAATATTTAAGAAATCTATTGATATCTGAGTTAATATTTTTAAAATATTGCACAAGATTATAGGGATTAGTATGATCATGCAAGGGTCAATTTAGTCATTTTCTTCTACATTTCTTGCAAAAATTTTGAATTTTATTGATTTCCTAACTTTTTTCCAGTGAACATTTTCCATAAGCTCTACTTTTTACTCTCTACGTTTATAAATTTGGTAGGGTTTGATTCTTTTTAATGCAAGTGTAGGTCTTAATTTGAGTGTGTATAATAGATTACAATTTGACATTTTGCGATCAACTAAAAGAAATAATTCGATATTTGTTGTGTATATGTATACACACACACACATACATACACACACACATATATGTATGTGTGTGTGTGCGTACGTACGTATGTAAGTATATAAGTCTTTCATTTTTCTAATTAGCTCTGATCCTTAAAGATGCATGCCAATTAGACTGGACTACCACCTACATGTAAAACAGTGTAAGACCTAGCTATTATGATAAAATGAGCTGAAAGAAAGATTAATTGGTGAAATAAAGAAAATATTTAACAAAAAAGGCCTTACACATGCACTAGAAAGAATTTAGATATAAACCCAAGCAAGTATCACATGTAATACCAATGGCTTAGAGTAGAAATCAATATGTAAACTTTATAGTAGAAAAAACATGAATTACAAGGAAAAAACATGATTATGCAGCCAAATCTGGGTCTTAATCAATATATATTTACGATATTTTCTAAGATTTTCTAAAACATTTTGCATGTGCTTAGCTTTTTATAGTTTGTATTAGCTATTTGTATGAATTTGGTAGGTTTAATCATGCAACTATCATACAAATATTGTATTTAAAAAACATAAATGATGGA